AAGAGATCACCGAGAGAATTTCTTTAGTATATGCTGCCGCCGTCGCTTCGTCGCATACATTTAAAAAGCTTGCTGGTGGAATCATCTTGAGGAAGCAGAGCTAACGACAACATCCATCTCGTCAAACTGTTCCTTCGCAAGGACCTTTCTCCCTGAGGTGATGAGACAGACCGTGATTAGGAGTTGCAATACGTATTAAAGAAGCTCGCAACAAGATCTGGAGTTGTTGTATCGCTATTTGGGCAGTAATAATCGGCCTTCGTCTTCAACCATTCAATTCGAGTAGCTCTTTTCGCAGGGTCGCATAAGCACGTTTTTACTTTGCAAGAGCCACTGAGCGTATTTCCGACGATTTGGACCAGGGAGTTGGATCCTCCAATACAGCCACACGACGTTCCCGGATATCCAGCAAGAACTGCTTGTCCGCAGGGTTTCAACCCTGAGTATCCACGTCGGGCCTGAATCTCTTGTTCTAGTGGCGTAAATGTGCGCGCATCGCAGTGTGATTTAAGTAATAATAAAGACAATAGAAGCTGGATCTTCGCATACATTCCGAATAGCATACTGAATAGTACGAAGTAAGCTGAATTTGTACTTTTTATGTTAGAGTGTGTTGAACTGTGCGGTGTGCGTGGTATATGTGCACTTAATCTCTCTCGTACGCATCGAAGTAGTAATAATAGATTCGTATAATGTTGGTCTTGCTTCGTTGATCCCCAAAGCAAACCGAGGACCAAGGCGTTTAAATAGATTCTCAAAACTAGTCGAGTACCGAGAAAACTCGGCAGCGACTCCAAGGCTTGTGACAGGAAACAAAGTTCGAATTGGCATTACGAAGTCCCGAAAGATGTGCCTAGATTTTTTGACGGATCAGCTCCTCGTGTTGTGAATCTTTCCAATTTTCGGCCTGTTACGGAGTCTTGTCTGTGCGATGAGTAAACTTGCCCGGATCATGGCTATGCATACCTGCTCTAGCTGTTCACATGCATGAATGTGCGCTGGCGATGGATTCCATGCCTTAGCGTCCTGTGCATAAACCCCGCGCTGAAAAAAATACGAGTTTGAACAAAGTCAGGCTGAAAGAATACGAGCTCACAGCACGCACAGGATAGACAATACTAGATTTGTTACAGCTATTAGCGAATAGGTAGGTGAGCCATTGGATGGCTTTCCTAACAATTCTGGATGGAATATTCTTAATAGCGAGGTATCTAGGTATCGACTCTTCGGCTCCAAGAATTCTAAGCTATTTTCTCTGACTTAGAACGAAGTGATGATCAACTTTTTCAATGCCCTGTCTATTCGACTTTAGGTAATACAACCATTTACTAGACTGACTGAAGATGAAATTAATTCAACTGAAGCCAAGGAACGGCGAAAGCCAAGGAACAGCTGAATTGTAAAGTCGAATGAAGTTAAGGCAATGGGGCAAGCCTAGAATCAACTGTAGATTCAGCATCGGCGATCCAGAGCACCCTTGAGAGGGAGACGAGGACCCTACAGATATTGCCGGAGCCTTTAGAGCCTTGGTTCCGGGCGTTGGAGCATCATGTGGCTCGCTGTTTGCCGTCCGCTGCCGTACAGGTCGTAGGCCGGGGAGGGTTTCACCACTATCTGGCGCAAGTACTCGTCGAACGCGATGTTGCCTGTCCTTACTTGCACCAGCACCGAGCCGTTCGCATAGGTGAGTCCTCTTACAGCTCGAGGACGCGTGAACCTAGGCTTCCAGTCTTCTCACTGAAGCTAGTCAAAGTCGGGCTTCACTGTAGGCGCGTGAACGCTTTTGAAGGGTCTTGTACGGCCCGGTTTAGAAAAAAAAAGGATTGGACAATAGATATGTTCGACGTGTTTAGCTGAAGCCGGATCCTACCCCGCATTTACAAAGACATTTTATATCCTCTTTGATTTGGTTTAGGTCTGGACGTCGAAGCCCGCTGTTCAGCTGTAGGCTTGGCTCGCTCCAATCCGAGTTGTGCCCAGCCTTATGTGGCAGGTCGGCTAATGCAAAAAACATGGAGAACGGCGTTCGTATATGCATCGTTGAGATGAGAGAATTCTGCTATTGGACATTTCTACATTACGCCACTGTCTATTAAATCAAGCCCATTCCACAACAAGATGATTGCTCAAGGAAACAGAGCTGGTGGTCAGCCCAAGTTCTAGGGATTTGAACCGTTCTTGATTGGCAAAGCCGTTCTGCGAAGCGCCTTCACTAGACCGCACCCACCTTACCCTCACTTACGTTTACTAATTTGGCCGTCTAGTAACTTCCCATGTATGTAGATCTGACCGTCATCCCATCGCCGATCGCTGTCCCTTGGGCATTCCGTTTATTTTGACTTCGGCATGTTAGTTTGATGTACTGCAGAGACATAAAGTTCGACCAGCGACACCCAAAACGAAAGTATAAAGGGAAGATGTACATAATCAGGCTGGCTTCACTGAAACCTAAAGGTCAGGTGGGTCTAGGACTATCATCCGAAGTCGAGAAATAACTTCGGATAAAGTTGCTACAGTAATCGTTCAATTTAAGTTTAGATCTACCTGTCCCTCGGATCCAGTTTAGCGCCCCCTCAACCCCTCTTCGGGACGGCCCCAAACACTTAAACTCAAACTCAAACTCAGCACGCTAGTATCTTTTTCCAGATATCCGAATCAGGAAAACCTCGTTTGTGTGGGATCCTCATAGAAAAAGTGTTCTGTATACTCATCTCCCTTCTCTATTCAAGGAGAATGATTATGCTTTATAATTTAGTCTGAACACTACAAGAAGTTGCGAACCTATAGAACTATCTCAATCATAACTGTAAACTGAATCATTTTCTTCGTCGTCCGATTGGTCAGGCAACGACTTGTCCAGCCTACTGTTTATATTCCTACGTATAGCGCTAAGATCTCCGCGAGCCGTTGACCCACTTAATCGTTATAGCGCGAAAAGTTAAAGATTAGCGCGTATAGTGCGAAATGAAAACGCGTAGCGCGAAACGCGAACCTTAGAGTATAGCACGCGTTAGATGTATCTAGTTACTGTCTCTGTGGCCCAGCCATAGCTCTCGAGAAGCAAGTGACTTTACTGGATCAATGGGGGCTAAATGTTGTCAGTTTAGAGCAAGCGTTAATATGCTGCTACTGCCAGAACGCCTTGAGGATTGGTGCCGATTTCGTGTTGCAGCACATCGTAAGCCATTAGAGGGTTGAATCTCTTAGTTGTGATCGTCTAGAAAGACATCTTAAGACCTTTGTGCTGAAAGATGTGGCACATCTAATTCTTCGTGAAGATGGATCGCCCTAGGATCCGCTTTTGAGGACTCAATCCGGCTACGCGTATCGACATTATCCCATCTCTAGTCGATCTTGAATCTCGAGCGACTAAATCCTATTTCGACATTTATCGTCTCGATATAGCATTTTTCTATACAATCTGAATCAGAGCTCCCGATTCACTCATAATCTGAATCAGAGCTCCTGATTCAGATTATAGGATTAAGTACATCACTGCTGGGAAGTCGACATGGCGATCAGGCTGAATATCGTCATCATGACCACAGTCCTTCTCTTCACAGCGATTGTGCAACGAGGACCGTGATATTTTTCTCCACGGTGAACGTTTCGACGGAGTTGGTTCAACAGTTAAAGTCATGGACATTTCTCTGAGACTGTTACCCCCGGACGAGTTAGACGGAGGCCGGTACTCCTAAAACTAAGTATCAGCTAGCCATCATGCAGATCATGGGTAGATAGTGGTCATATGATGCGCCTACCTCATCATCGCTGTCTCCGGTAAGGTCAATCACATATGGCCCCCGAATGATGTCATTGGCAGGAGGACTCTCGTAGTCGCTTTCTTCGATCTCGATTACTGGAGAGATGTGAGTTTAGCCAACACGCACAATCTTCGACCAATCACGGACAAGCGAAAATGAGGAAAGGGAACAGCGAGAACAGGATGACATGTGGCACAGAACGCTCCGCTTTTGTAAACGAAGGAAGCGGGCTTGGGATGATCTAGACCGGTCGATCGACACCACTTCGGATAAGTTTCAGCACATGCCCAGCACAAAAGGCTCTGAGGAACGGGCCACTATTGGCTTGAATGCAGCTTTTGGCCCGCTAATCCTTGGTAGATCCCAATTGGATGCAATTTGCTGCGCGCCATGCCACCTAGGCCTCCATGGTGATAGAGAGGTTGACGCCTCATGCCAAGATATTTCCGAACAAGCTGCACGGAATTGTCGGCCAATCTTCCACCTGCAGAATAGATTAGTTTCAAGATACACCCGTAAGTGCCATTCCCTCTCCGTGCATTGGGGTCCCTCCCCCCCGCTGACCATGCTTCAGACTCGAGTCCAATCAATTGTTGTTCAGCGCCTATGAGCATGAGTCAAACACGCATGGCTACGACCAATTCATGCTCCTGCTTTATTTATAATGCGCCGCACCTCTTTGTGAAGCCGACAGCCCTCGATGCTTCCTCCCCCCAACGCTAGTGTTTTTCCTTGAAAGACCAAAGTTGAGGAAACGCAGACGAACCTCGGAAGAGCCTGCGGGTGTCGAGCAGGTTACTGGCTACAAGAACAGAAATCCATTCCCGAAAGCCGTGTCTGGTCTCGCCATCGCCCTCTCATCTTCTGAGCACCCTGTCCAAATATTCGAATAAGTTGCGGTGCTCCGAGGGAGTTTTGATCGCAGAGCATTCAAGAGACGTGTCAGCCGTATGCCATACCAATACCCGTCGTGAAGCATCCCACGGGGACATCTCGACAACGGCTCGAGAGGTTTGCTCGACGCGCTTGCACTGACACGTCAAACCTCTGAAAAGTAAGTGAGTTGAAAATGGGGCTTATCTCCTCTACGTTGGAGCTGAAAGCTGTAAATGCCTTGCTAACGCGCCAAAGAATACGCTATAAAGCATACTTCCTAAATATCTCTTCGTCTATATATTCTCTCCAAAAGATTACCACACCTATCGATTGGCTAATTAAAATCTTGTCTCAGGCACCATGGCTACCTTTTTCTCTGATACCCGCCTGACCGATAAGCCGCTAAATCAATGTGGTCCAGACCATGTTTGCTCTATTATCCCAGACTACCTTTTAGAAGACATTGCCGACTCTGATGGGTTTTCTGATCAGGTACGCGCCTGCGCTCGGAAAACCCTTAGATACACCCAAAATATTCGAAACACTCGCTCGTCGTTCATACCTAACCATTCTGCTCATGTCGGCCATCCTATTGGGCCTTCCTACATACTTCAGGATATCATCGATTCGGATCAAACCGAGGAGGAAGATGAACTCCGGGCTCAGAAAACTCTTGAGCAATCTGAAGCAATTCCCGTTGCTCGCAGTGCGCCGCGAGGGCATTCACATCGAATGATATATGATGTGGAAGGTACTAACCGTTTCCCCGGAAACCGCATTCGCTATGAAGGCCAAGTTGCAATCCAGGACTTAAGTGCCAATCAGGTATACGACTTCTTCAAGGACATATTTGATTTCTACTGGCATGCATATAAGCGAGACTCCATCGATGATCACGGCATGAGTCTAATTGGCTCTATTCACGTTGACGATTTAGTACCTCCACCAGGTTTCAATAACGCATTGTGGGATGGATCCCAAATGATCTTTGGTGACGGTGATGGCATTATATTTACGAGCTTCACCAAGTGCCTCGACGTCATTGCCCATGAACTCACTCATGGTGTGACACAGTATACTGCCAATTTACCTTACCGCCAACAGTCTGGTGCCTTGAATGAACATATCTCAGATGCTTTTAGCGCTATGGCTAAACAATGGAATCTTAACCAAGAAGCTCAAGATGCGGATTGGCTCATTGGAGAAGGTATCTTTGTTCCTGGGTTTACCGGGCGTGCCTTGCGGGACATGAAAGCTCCGGGCACGGCCTACGACGACCCCCGGCTACGGGCTAAGGACCGACAAGTCGGCCACATGGACCTATATGTAGTCCTACCCGATGACGATATCCCACGTAACGACCATGGTGGAGTACACATCAACTCTGGAATTCTTAATAGGGCCTTCTATCTCGTCGCTACCGCTCTAGGTGGGCATTCCTGGGACAGGGCTGGGCGGATCTGGTATACGACTCTTCTTGATCCTCGACTTCGCCGTTTTGTAAACGATTTAAGTAATTGGAATAATTGTTTTTCTTTCTTCGCTGGTCTCACCTGCACTCATGCAGCAGAGTACGGTGAGGATGTCCAGGCTATTGTCAGACAAGCTTGGGAAGGGGTTGGGGTTGGGGCTAGGCCTGGAGATGTCCTACATGAAGGCGGGATGCCTATGACTCAAGTTCGGAACGCCTTATCATATCTCGAAGATGGACAACACACAGTGAAGATCAATGTCGATTGGCAGCTCCAAGAGTTTGTTCGCTATGGTCTGGACAATCCACGGGATCTTGAGACGGTCCTGACAATCACAGGCGAACCGGAAGAAGCCTATGCCTGTTCCTGCGAGGACTACGTGAAGTTTGCTTGGGGAAAGAATACCAGCATTCCAGAATTCTTCCGAGCTTTTGTGGCTTCGGAGTATATCTCTTCGGCCAAGGAGTGTAAGTATTAGCTTCTCAAATTCGACAGACATTGAACGCAGCTAACATTGCTGATCTTCCGACGAAGTTTCCTTCCGCTCCAGCCAATTTAATGTCTCCGCCGTTGTGGAAGTTACCGCTTCCCCGAACGGATCTGAGAAGTCCACATTCCAAGTAGAGGCAGAAAGAGATTGCCTGGTTGAGGTTTGCGAATGCCTATCGTGGCTTGCCGCGGTCTGTAGACCTCCAGAACCAAGCAGCATACACGCTTCCAGCGCAACCTTCAAGAAAGTGGATGTGAATTACTTCACAATTCGAATGGAACCCTTACGACCTCTTCCTCCATCGGGATCCCTAGCCAGCATTGGTTGCTGCTGGCTCAATATGTTCAATGGAGGATACGTCCTTGCTAGGGGTTTCCCTGTACCCCGCAGAAAAAGCAGCCGTGGGATCGAGTTGCCATTGGACATGATGGTTGAGCAAGCCATGACGTATCATACCATCAGTCACAGAGGGAGTATAATCCTGAAGGGCAGCAACACAGCGCTTGTTCCAATCTCAGTCGACGGGATTGGAACCCTTGATCAAGCGGAAGAGGTGCAATGGCACCTCATTGGCAAGAAACCAAAGCTGGTTCATGTTGACCTTAACGTAACCGAAGGCTATTACTTGACCGACGCTGAATTTTCAACAGGAGACCCAGATCTATGTTGGGAGGCTATCGACCAAAGAGGCTTGAAAACGTTGGCCGTCAATAGCCTTCAAGGGTTCTCTGGAAAGCGTCAATTTGTTGGGTACTTCCCAAGGGCTCAGAATCTTCTTGGGACTAAAGAATCGGGATACGAAAAGGTTGAGAGATCGGATGCCAAACTCGTGAAAGGAACTGTGATAAAATTTGACCAGGCCATAAACGTTACCGTGGGTACGAACTTTGGTACTGCTGGCATCGTCAGTTTGGCATTCTCTGAAAGAATTCGGCGTACAAAATACGACAATACGCCGAAGCAGATCCCAGCATTCATTGGGGATCAGCTACGCAACCGAGAAAATAAGGCACACATTTTGTATGATGTTGAGAAAAAGACTGCCTGGATGATACCGGAGGCATGCATCATTCTGTATCTGATGCACCGCTGGGCTTCCTTACAGAATCCACCATCAACCACCGACGACCTGCAGGAAGCACCCCATGACCCGTCATCTCCTCAACAGAGTGGCCGATCTCAACCGTCTAATTCTCGGCAACAGGCTCCGCTGGAGACATATGGGGGCCCGGTTCTGGGGTACATGCCATTCGTAGGAGCGTCTTGCAACAGCGGGAAGGAAGCCACGAATGCTATTTGGAGGAAGATTTCTGTGCAACTCCCTGAATATGTACGATCCCCTGAGAAGCCAGAAAAGCCGGTGCGCGTCTGGGACATCGTCGCTAGGATGTATTTGATTATCGACGCGTTAGTTGAGCATCAGAAACGCAAGAAGCCGGGGTTTTTCAGACGCCAAAGAGATCGTCCTTACCTGTGGGGATATGAGTTTGCAGATGTTGCCGGGTCTGACAAAGCACCTGCGAAGGGGGTTCGTATTGACAAAGCGAGGTCTGGTGGTTGGTACGCTCTTACCAAACCACATTCTGAAATTGCCATACTCTTTGGCAATAAATTCGGCGACCCAATCAGGTACGAGAGCGGCCAGGCGATTTGTCATCTATGGAAAAGTGTACCCGTGGGGTATGACTTTCTCTCCGCTGACAGCGAAGCCCTGAAATACCTCGAGATATTGAAACAAAAAGGTCTTTTCGATCTCGTCCTTTCCGATGAAAACTCCGGGACTTATAAAAGACACGAGTCCCAGCCATGCGGGAATGAGGACTGGCCTTGCTGTAATATGGCCTTGCAGCTGATGTCGAGGTCACGAAGGGTGACAATTGATGTAAAGAAGGGGGAGGCGGTGGTCATCGGAAAAGCAGGTCCAAGGCTGATAAAACCCGCCGGCAAGGCATCCCAAAAGCCGGGACGGAGGCGCTTAGAGGATCCAGTCGAAACTCAAAGTATCAAAAGGCGCTTATCCGAAATAAACGAACCACCAAACGGAACCCCGAGTGGACAAGCTTCTGATGAGCGGGTTGAAGATGACACAGCCACTGAACCCGAACAGTTTAACAGCTCGGATGATGCGGAATACTTGAGCTGCGACGAATATTCTAGCGTGCCTTTCGAAGACGACTCGGAGGCTCGGGAAAAGAGATCGATCCGGAACGGAGTGTTACAAGTCAGACCTACGACCTAGATGTCGACCCTAGCCAAAAGGACCCGAACAATGGTATACCATTGTTGGTGGTGCCAAACTACAGCGAGTTAGCACGGGACGGGAACTAACTAAAGATGGCTAAAGTGGTATAGGATTATGGTATAGGATTGTTTTCTCAGGTAGAGACTTCGCGAGGTGCAATCTTTATAATTATTACATTGTTCGAATAAGCTTATTAAGGCTATACGAATACGACTATTTACAAAGCTATAGGTGCTATAGTGGTAAAGTTCTAAAAGTGATGTAGTAAGGTAGGGTTACGCGAGCTTTATATTAGAGTAGCGTTTACTATACTATAGTATAGCGAACCTTATTAACTTAGTCTTATTACCTTAGCCTTATCTAGATATCCCCTAGTAATTCTACAATTTTCCTAACTATAGTCTTAACTAGCGCGATAGCTTAGGCGTCGTACCCAAAAAAGTCTAACTATACTAGGAATTAAACTAGCGACCTTAGTGAGATATATATATTTAAGTTACCTAAATTTAATTAATAATTACTCCTTCTTCCTAACTAACGAGAGGCGACCTATACTACTAGCTATAACTTTATTCGACCTTTAGATAGTATAGAATTAAGAGGCCTTACTAGAGTTACGAGACTAATCGCTATACTATACTCTTACCGACTAGCTTTCCGAATTAGAACTTAGGTAAAGGTAGTAGGGTCGTCGAGAGGCTAATAGATACTCTTTGGGAGCTACTATTAGCTACCTTAAGACTTTAACTCGATAAGATAGTTACGGTAAGTAATTAGCGAGGGGTATACTCTCTATAGGCCCTATAATTTAAGATATCTTCCCGCGATATAGGGCGTTAGTAGTCTCCCTATAAAGAGAGACGAAGCTAGAATCTTAAGCTTTTTCTTACTTATTTACATTTTTTTTTTTAAGTTAGAGTTAGCTATCCTAACTCTTAAGTGGTTACGCTAGTACTCTAGGTCTTAGTGTCACTATAATAAAATTATAATCTATATATTTTATAGTCTATAAGGTAATTTAAGTGATCGGTATACTACCATTTCTATATAGATTTATATAAAACTTATTATAGTAATCTATCTTTATATAGAGATGCATCTCGCGAATATTATAACTAAAATGAGTAAGTTTTAGCCGTTTGCGACCTAGTTTATTATAACTATTCTAGTAATCTCTATAAGTGTCTTTCGCCTTTTCTAATACCCTAGCGCAATACGACCACTATAATTATTAATATTTTAAGTGCTCTAGGCGTAAAAGCCCTAATTAGGTAGCTTATCTAAGATATAGTTTAAGTGATAATAGGTTTTAGCGAGTATTAGTGGCGATAAGGATTTTAGCTCACTCAATGCAAAGATTCGTAAAATTAACTCCTTATGGAAGGTTCTATAGGTATTACGACCTTCTAGAGCATTAGGAGACTTGTAGGAACACTAGATTAGGTAGGAACTAGTAAGGTAAGTATCTCGACGCTAGTAGGTAAGTAGTCGCTAGATCCTTCGCTCCCACTATCGCTAGACACTAAAATTGGAACGTATTTAGTCGGCCAAATTAACTAGATTATAGTTGCGATTGTAGGTATTAATTACGCGTAGTATTAGTAACTCTTTAGTAGGCTTATTACCAAAAACTCCGCGCGTAATAGTATTGTTGTAGGGCCTTCGATAGAGCTTGATAATATAGTCCTCTAGGACTTCCTAAATGGTAAAGACGGTTAAAATACCTATAGTTGTAACGTTATCCTACTATAGGAAGTATACTACAAGATTTATGACCTCTATCGCGCAAGATCTATACGATAATTGCGTACTAGAGAGCTTTATATCAATAAATCGTTATAGGAAATCCTTATAGTTTTTATATATTGTACCTATTACTCCTATACTAATAACTAAGGGTATATACGCCGGTACTAGTATTAGAAATAAGTTATTAAGAAATACTAGCCTTTTTACACTAAATTCATTATTCTAGAGTTCCTAATAGAGGTCCTAAACCACAAGATATATCGTCGCAAGTTATACGAGCACTATTGGCATTAGTTAATGCACCAATCTTGACTCTTTACTAATACCTTCTACTCTCGTAACGCGTAAGTACTATCACCAAGAGTACACGTAACCCTACTATAGTGTAAGAACCCAAGCTAGGTAGCCTTGTAGCGTAGGCTTTAATAGAAGATTCACTAAGTCTTTAGTATATCTAGTATAACTAGCTATTGCCTCGTTAATAGTAATCCTAGTTAATAATTTAATCGTATTTTAGTAGTTACAATAGATTAAACTAGTAACTAGTTTAACGCGATTAAATGGCGACTTATCTTAATAGTATAGTTAAGGGTTAAAGGTTAGGAATTAATAAATTTAATCCTATCGAGTTTTCGTTATTATTTAACTAATTTAATACGTATTTTCGAGCTCTAAGCGTTCCCAATAGGCCTTTCGATTCTATTCTATATAATTTACTATATAAAATAGCCCTCTAAGCTAGTGGAGGAGCTTAATAGGTCGAAGCGCACTCTAAGATTAAGAAGCTTCACTAGATTTAACCTCTTTCGCGGTTTTTTCGTATCTATATTTATCGTATTATACACCACTAAAAGTACCTTAAACCTATTAAAAAAGTATATAAATAGACTTAGTAGGTCTCGAGCTTCGATAAGCACTTTAAATGGTTCACTCTCAATATGAATTGGTAAGGTAAATAGCGCGTAAGGTTCGTTAGCCTATTTATAGATCACTAGAGGTGTATATGGGCTTACGGTATAAGTTTTGAGTATTTAGATACCATTTTTTCTACTTTTTTTACAATAGTAGCTAAGGGAAGAATAAGAATCTTCCTATAGTATTTTCTTAGTAAGAATCCTACTAGAATACGTAGGTTAAGTTATCTCTAATTGGCTTTATAAAGTGAATTATATAAAATACGTTTTATTATAGTAACACTAAGGCCTAAGGTAGAGTTTATCTTAAGATAGCAATAAATACTAGCTCTATTGATAAATAGCTTAAAGGTAGATAGTACTACTAAAGTCACTAGCCCTAAAAATACCCCAACCCTCTTAATAGTAGTTCACTAGCCCTATTAATAACTATCCTTTATACTCCCCTAGTATTATAGTCACCACTCCTAAGATCTATTATCCTAGCTCTCGTATCTCACTAGACCAAGAGTATTGGGAGGTCTACCTATCACTAAAGTACTAGCTTTCGCAAAATAATCACGACCCCTACTATAGACGTAATCACCTTAACCACTAGTCGCTCTAGTTATAGGTTATTTTCTAGTCGATACTAGATAAAGGTAGAATACTACGCTTTAAATTTCTCCACTAGGCCTCTATAGAGTTAATTACGAGTTACAATTCGCTTCTCCTTTAATATCTCCTATAATATAGATAGACTACCCGCTAGCTATTAGGCCTTAGCCTAAATATAATCTATTTAGTTCTTATACCCTCCTTTAACTATATTTAGTAAGGCCTTAGAAGAGACCACCTTAAAATCTAGTTCTAACGCTATTATACGAATATAGTCTCGCGCTTAGCGAGTAGCCTCTATATTACCCACCTATCGCTTCTAATAATAGGTAATATCTAGTGCCTTATTTTGACTATCGCTAAACTAACTCGTAAGAATCTCTAAGGTCTATATCCCCTTCTTAGGGTCTTATACTATTATAATAATAGTACTACTCGACTAGAGGATATATCGCTTAAGAAAGTTAAGCTATAGAGCCCATTAACTATAGGCGATGTGTTAGAAAGTGTTAAGGATAAAGATACGATTAAACTTTATACCTAGGGTAGTAGGCTTACCTATATAGCTAATATGCTAGACCACCTAACTAACTTAAGGGTTGGAGGGGTTAGCTAAGTTATTTAGGCGAACTACTTCCTAAATATAGGCCATAACTATCTATAAATTCGTTATATCTAAGAGTGCTATATAGTAGGCTATATTATAAATGTAGGCGAGATTAGGGTTAACTAAGTAGGAGACTAGCCTATACTTACTTAATAGTTAGAGTAGAAGATATAACTTTACTGACTAAAGACTAGTCTCAAACCCTATAATAAAGCCTACACCTTACTTAATCGTATACTTAAGCGTATCGCTATTTCTAAACCCTAAGTCTAGTACTATATCCCCTTATTAAACTTAGAGCTTTAGCTTAATTATACTATTAAGGTTATCTATCGCCTACATAAAGTTAAAATACTATATCGAGGCCTATATACTATATAACTCCCCGACCTATACGAATATTATAATAGTATCTTACTAGTAGCTTAATATCTTAAAGAGTTAGTATTTAGATCGAGTTAAAGGTAGATAACTTTAATTTTAAACTATTAGAGTTGTTAAGTAATGGGGAGAGTAGGCGAGTAGCTAGAGGAGAGGATAGAAGGATTAGTAATTAAGTTAATCGAAAGTGGGAGGATAAGAGATGTCGTGTAGAGGAGAATAAGAGGATAAGAAGATACGAAGATAAGATAGAGATTTAGGTAATTTAAGGAGAAGATAATTAGTAACTAGGTTAGTTAGTTAATAGGTAGAGGAGAGAGATTAAGTTAGTTAACTATAAGAGATATAGTTAGTAAGGGAGAAAGTCTAGCTTACCAACTAAGGCTAGAATAATATAGAGAAAGGTTCTAGAGAGAGAGATACTTACTATAGCTATTAATCCTATTAATATTATCAATTTTAGTATTAAGATTAGTTTTTCTATACCTTTAGACTATATAGTAGATTCTTTAAGCGCCTAAAGAGAGATCTTAGTAAGAACTTAAGGTCGTAGCTTTAAATGAATTAAGAAAGAAAGGAAAGAAAGAAGGGAGATCTATAAATAATCCTAGTAGCTAAGAGGCGAAGAGAAAGGGACCCATAGGTAGTTTAGTGGAGAAATAGGATTAGGATTAGTCCTAAAAGTCTATAGGTAGTTTAACTAAAGAACTAGAGAGAGAGTAGATCTTAAGTTAATTAATATCAATTAC